CGCTCCTCCACTGGACGTGTACCTTGCGCGTTGATCTTGTAGCCGAGGTACTCGACCTCGCAGGCACCGAAGGTGCATTTGGATAAATTAATAGTGAGGCCGAATTTGCGTAACCTCTCAAATAACGTGCGAAGGTGCCTTGTGTGCTCCTCCGGCGTTGACGACGCTACCGTGTTACAACAAACTGACACTAGAGAGCGCATCGAGCGTAGATTTGAAAAAAAGTATCAATAATATTTATTGATGACGTTTCTATGTATAATTATTAAGTTTTGCATTATCATAATTTATTGATAATAAATTTCTATTTTTATCATTATCACAAAAGTAAATATTATAATAAATCTATAATGTTTTATTTATTTTATTCTGTTATGTCTTTTTTATATTTTTGTATATAAAATAATATACAAGTACCACACACGTGAACAAAACACGTGGTTTTGTATTTGAATATATAAATAAAGAATTTAATTAACAAAAAATAAAATAATCAACAAGATGTTGTACATGATCGGCTTAGGATTAGGCGATGCTAAAGATATTACTGTTAAAGGTCTTGAAATAATAAGAAAATGTAGTCGTGTGTATTTGGAATCTTATACATCAATTCTTTCTGTGAATCAAAAAACTTTGGTATGTATAATAATACCAATATCTCAAATTGACAATAAGATATAATGATTCTAAAAACATTCTATAAATATATATGTTTTAAAAATCATTGATTATGAGAAAAGTATTACTTAAATTTAATAGGAAGATTTTTATGGTTGTTCTTTGATCATCGCAGACCGTGACTTAGTAGAAAGTGATGCAGATTCAATACTGTCAAATGTGGAGAACGAAGAAATTGCATTTTTAGTTGTTGGAGATCCATTCGGTGCAACAACGCATACAGATTTGGTATTACGTGCACAAGAGAAAGGTGCTAAGGTATATAAACCGTGTATTTTTTTTAAATAAAAAAATAATAAAAAAAGATATATAATTGAGAAATAATTAATTTTAGGTACAAGTAATCCACAATGCATCAATTTTAAGCGCCATAGGTTGTTGCGGTTTACAATTATATTCTTTTGGAGAAACTGTATCTATTCCATATTGGACAGAAACATGGCAACCTGATAGTTTCTATGATAAAATTGCATCTAATAGAAAAAGAGGTTTGCATACGTTATGTCTGTTAGATATCAAAGTAAAAGAACCTACATTGGAGAGTATTTTAAGTAAAAAGAAAGTATATATGCCACCAAAATTTATGACAGTTGCTGAAGCATCTGATCAGTTATCTTCTATATTAGAGAAAAAGAAAAAGGATACCGATGAAAATTTAGGTTTGTATATAATATAGTTACAAATATTAATTATAATATTTACTAAACTTCTTTTTTAATCTTTGCTGCATTTGCACACCTTCCAATCCTTCCTATATAATACCTATTTTAATTTAATATTAATTATATTGACAATATGAAGAGACATTATAATATTTCTTATCACATGCCTTACAATATATTATAAAATCTATTTATATGTTACAGCTTTTACAGAAAACAGTCTAGTGGTAGGATTAGCTAGAATAGGATCGGACGATCAGAATATAATTGCCTGTTCATTGCAAGAAATGAAGAAAATTGATCTTGGAAAACCTCTACATTCTTTAATAATTCCTGCTGAGAAACTACATCCTCTTGAAATTAATTTCTTACGACAATATGCTATTGATAAGATTCAATTTGACGAATCGGTAGCTCCTTGCTAAATGTATTATTAAAAATGAATAAAATATTTATATATCGATATATATATAATTGATTATACACTTATTGTGTATATATTTAATTATAAGAAACATTTTGAACGAATATATCAACGAAATCGATTCCGAGATTATATTATTTATACATAAAGAAATTTTATAAAAATATAATTAGTTCGTTATAATGTATTTATTAATCGTTATGTTGTTCTCGAAATATGATTTATCAAAATTTTGCAAGTAAAAAGAAAATGTAAAAAGAACATGTAACAATATCTATATAATTAACAAATTTTAAAAACTAAAAAACACATTAAAAAAAGAAAATCTTGAATTATAACGATAATGATATAAAATAATGCATCCGAATGTTTAGTTTCGAAACAATAAAACAATAAAAAAATAACTTACGCGAGTTGCAGGAAATTTTCCATATTACTTTCCATACTTTTTATTATTTTCTATCAGATAAAAGTAGTGCAATAATAAAATATAAATAAATACCGTAGGAAAAAACTATTCATAATAATACTTTTTTACGTGTAATGCACTAGTTGTGTGAACGAGGAACGATTTTTTCAATATATTATAGTTTCTTATGATTTATTGATTAATATACTTTATCTGATAGTGAATAATCTTTAAAAAGAAAGTTTATGCACGACAATTCATAAATATAATATATACAATATTCGTAAGTTGTTCGTCGTGTCACGTAAGCAAGTAGTTTCTGACTAATCGATGGAAAGGCATCGATCGTACCTGCGGTACAGGTGAAATCGGCCAACGATGGAAGGTGGAAGGTTCAGTCCACCAGGTTGATTCTCGGTTTAAAGACGTACTTATATTTCTCTTTGACGTTTCGAAGATTTTTCTAAGACAATCCAAGTAAATCCAAGATTATGGTATAATTATATTTTTATCGATATCAACTATAATAATTTTATACATTTTAACAGGTATAATATATATATATATATATGTATTCGTATATTTCAAATATATTTTGATTATTATCAGATAATTTGTGTACGAACAATTGGATAGAAAAAAAAAAAATTAGATTATTGTTACACATTTTAAAATGTATAAAATATATTCTATATTTGTATATAAAAAAAATAATTATACAGGATAATCGTGAAAACATATTTGTGATTTTTTACTTTTCATTTTAAACATTCCAAATAAGATCGGATCAAATTTTTAACTTTATTCGCGAAACAATTGTACCAATAAGAGATGCATTACTTTTTGTTTTTCATATATACAAAATATTTCAATTACTTATTAAAATAAAATACGAAACCGATTAACTAGAAGACTTCGACAATATTTTATTTCTTTTTTTGTTTAAACATTTATTATAACACCACTTGATGAATATTTCGTTTGTTTTTTTGTTTCTTTTTTTTCATATATTTCAAATAAATTTCTTGAATAATTTTAAACCCCGTGTGTTTATGATCGTACAATAATAAATGGAAACAACAATGACTATGAATTCTTTTTGTTTAATCTCATTCAAAATTAATCAATTTTCCACCTCTAATATATTTCGAATATTGAATTATAATAATAATAATAATAATAGCTAGAAAATATATGATAAATGTGTTCAAACATTTTCACATAGTTATTTAGTTAGATTATTATCTGTTGTTTTTTCTTTTTTTTTTTATTTTATCGATATAAAAGGCACCGTTAAAATAAGGTGCATCGATTATTCCGTAGGTCAGGTATATGTGATACATAATCCAGTATATACTTATCAGATAACACATATATACATATATTTATATATATACACATTGACGTTGTGACATTCGCGTGATCTTTCATTTTTAATTAATAATTATTGAAGAACTGAAACGATATATGAAACTTTTACGAAACAATTTCGATGCCAATTTTCTTTCATTTCTCTTTCTTTTTTTATTTATTTATTTATTTGTTGTCTCATTAATTAAATTGCATGGCAATAAATATAAACGTTATTTCTGATTTATATCTACAGGATAGAGGGGGAAACAAGTAAGAAAGGGAGAGAAAAGAGCAAGTTCTATAAATACCTAACTGGTCGATGTATACTATTCTGCGTTAGCTCGTATGCAGGAATTATCAAGGTTGGAGCTAGTTTTCTGGGTCATGTACGTGACCTTGAACAAATTGTATACACATGTTGCAAAATAATCGCGTTTTATGTTTTTATTATTTTTTTTTTCCAGCCACCCCCTCGTCCTCCCACCCTCCCCAAAAAATTAATAATCTTCGATAAGAAATAAAAATAATAATAAATAAATAAATAAATGTGTTGATATTTTGCAGGTATTATTAAGAAAAAAAAGTTATAATTGATTGCAGGAGATTAAATGTATTAATTTAGCGAGAATAATAATACATCGAAATCAATTGAAAAAATAAAAAAAAAGAATAATGGCGGCCTCGACAGAACGTAAAAAGGATTCCTACGAGATGGGATTTCTTTTAGCACCTAGAGTACCTCAGGGTTTGGCAGCCGTGGTTGAAAGTTTAACGAGAGAAGTATTACGACAACGACCAGAAGACATTTATGTTTTCGCTGCTCGTCATTTTGAAAAATTACTAACACTGCGTGAACAATACGACGAGGTCAATAATGATGTAGATACAAAATTCAACAAGGAATCCAATAATTTGTCGTATAACATTAAAAAACTTAACGATTCTAGCAAATTATCGAGAAAAATTAAACGAACAACGAAAAATGATAATATCGAAGATAATGGTAAAAGAAAAGTAGAAAAAGAAGAAGAAAAAGAAGAAGAAAAAGAAGAAGAAGGTTGTTGTTGGTCATTGAACGAAACTGCGAGAGTACTCGAAAGGCATAGAAATATTTTTGGCGAGGGTGAGAAAAAAATAACTACAGATGAAATTCGTGCATTGGCCAAGGAGAAGAAACATTTGCGAACTTCATCGAGTAATAAAAAAATAAATAAACGTGGAAAAATAAAATCTACCGACAACGATCGAGAATATACGAAAGATACGATTAAACAATTGATAAACAACGATAATGATTCTACTTTGAAATTAGATCGTAATGGTAAAACCATTAAAATTATTTCACAAATACCAACAGTATTGACACGTAATACAGGTAAAAAGGATATCAAAATGGAACTTAGGAAAAATAGATTAAGGGATAAAAGTACGGATTCTTCAAACAACAATGAGGAGGGAGGTGGGGTGGTTGTTGTTGGTGGTGGTCAATATCAAGAACAAATTAGTAACGATCCTTTGAGAAAAAATTCATCTTCGCGTAAAAAAAATGAAACCAAATTGGAAGATGAATTAATTAAAAATAAACAACAAACTACTACTCGTCGTAGTAAAAGTATCGAAAGGTATTCTAATCGATCGAGTAAATCGGAAAAAAGGAAAAATAATAATTCGATGGAATTTTTATCAGACAAAAAAAAGGAATTATCATCCGAGACTTGTAATATGGATCAAATTAAAGATTACGTTGTACGTAATTTTGGTTCTAGTGAAAATAACGATAATATCGATAGAAGTTATGTTAATCAAGTACAATACGTTATCGATAGAAATGTACCAATAATCAAAGAGAAAATGAACGAATTAAAGTACGACATTTTAATGACAAAATCATCGAATGATGGTACAGCAAATTTGTATAAAGATAAATTAAAGAAAAAACGTGATATCAGACCTAACACTACGGAAAATGATAATAATAAATCGTACGAGAAAATAAATAAATATCGTAATAAAAGAAGTTCGAGCGTTGATTCGATTGATACGAAAATAATACAACATGAGGATACTTTGGAAAATAGATTGATTAATACGAAAAATATATTGGAATGTATCTCATCGAAATGTTATAACAAATCGTCTAATTATAATTATCGTATTAAATCTAATAACTATGATCATTTTTCTGTTGACGAACAAGAACAAGATAATAATTGTTCTATTATTACGTTGGATGGAAATTCTAAAATCATATTGCCAGCTGTTAGACCAACGTCTTCCAAATATTCCAAATGTCTTTCGCGTAATGATTCGAATCATTTAATTTTACCACCCATATCACCGGATACTAATAAAATTTCTAAGAAGAAGGACGATATTACGTTACCAATTTTATCAACAACAATAATTGATAACAATAACGGATCATCATCTGTTTCCTCTTCGTCTCTTCGTTCAGAAGAGAAAGATAATAATTATTCGGTGGATAATCAAAATAATAATGATGATGATGATAATCTTGGCGATGATATATTACAATTATCAACATCGATCAAGGAAGATATCACATCTACAAGACAAATGTTGCTAAATGTTAACGAAAAATTAAAAACAACTGTTAATTATCCCATCGATGATAATAAAATAATCGAAGATATGTCTTCCACGAGAATTAATATTACTGAAAATAATCACGTTGACAAAATAAACGATAATTTAAATGATAATTTAAATGATAATTTAAATAATTTACTTGGGGAACAAATAATAAAAGTAGACGTACACGCTGAAGAAATATTTCAAGATAGTTTAAACGTAACACCGGATATTATTGATATTCCTCCTAGTCCAGATTCATTAGAACCAATCATAGATAATCGTGATTTGTCAATGATAAACGAGGAAACGGAATTTCAAGAAAAATTCGTAGAAATCGAAGAAAATATAACAAGTAACATTGAAAATGAGGATACCGTTGATCAAATTAATGAAATAAATCATTCAGAAGCAGTGATATTAGAAATTTCTGATGATTCTTCGATTAGTATACAACATGAAGAACCTGTTAAAGAAGAAATTGTTGAAATAATTAAATTAACTACAGATTCAGATCCGAAATCTGAATTCGATAATAGATCCGAAATAAATAAATCTAAAGATGAAATAAATATGAAAGAAATTGATGCAACTGTTAACAATGAAGAAATTATTAACGAACAAAATAATTCTTTATTATCATTTGAAAACAAAAAATCTAATGATTATCCTTTAAATGTTTCGTTATCAAAAGAAATTCCATTTTCGTATATTTTAACTGAAGGTTCTCCTGTTGAAATACCTGATTTTGTTACTACCGTAATTATTCCAGAAAAATCACCATCAACCCCGGAATTAAATTTTGAAACTAACGAAGAAGAAGAAGAAGAAGAAGAAGAAGAAAAGGATGGTGAAATTTGTGAGGAAAGAAGAAAACGTGCTGTAGAAAGTTTCGGTGAATATATAAAACCAGAACAACAAATCGAATGTTCAACTGTAGATATTGATTTTATTCGTGGTATCAAAACTGGTCACGAAATTGCTATAATTCGACAAGATCTCGATGGTATCAAAGAAGAAGAAGAAGAATACGATGAAGAAAAACAATTGAAATTAATGGATGATAATGAAATTCAAAAAAATGATAATGATGATGATAATAATGATGATATAAATAAAGATCATCATTCACCATTGTTAGAACATATTTCTGAGACTGAAGAAAACGAGACAGATGATAATGACAAATGTGAAAAGAAAATGAATGATGATATGGAAATGGATAATAAAATAATTAAAGATGAACCTAACGGTAATATTAATTTAATAGAAAATTCATTGGAAAATGAAGAAAGTACCGAAACAGTTGACGTTACTTCTGATTCAACAAATGAAGTTAAAGAAACAACCATAACCGATAGATCTACCGATAGTTTATCGTTGGATCCTGCCAGACCAATTGTACCGGAATTAAATTTGGATTCTTTGCGTGATATTACTGTGTCATCGTTTAAAATGAATGATGCTGATGAAACTGTATCGTTAACGGAACCAACATTGTCGGGAAAAGATAAGATTGATTTAGATGAAAATATTTTATCGAAGGATGATGATGATGAACATTTGGATGATTCACCGATTGAAATGATTTCTATCGATGACAAACCTATGGAAATTGATGAATCATTGATTCATTTAGATAATAAAAAATCGAATTTGATTTTGTCCGAGGAAAAAGATTTAATTGAAAAATACGAAGATGAACTATCGGACGTTTCAAATATTAAAATTCAATCAGAGTTAATTGAATCGATTGAACAATGCGATGATGCTATTAAAAATGATGTTTCATCGGTTGAGTATTTAAAAATAGAAGAAAATACGACGACTGATTTAGATACGGAGGAAGAAATAGCGAAAGAATTGATTGAAATAGATCGTGCAGAAAATATTTCACATTCTCAAGATACTTCGAATGATAGTCATCGTTATGGTGCTGGTGGTGGTGGTGGTGGTTTCGAGAATGATAAGTCTAATGAAATTTTAACTATCGTTGAAGAAAAAAATATTAAAAGTACGAATGAAAAACAAGAGGATAACGATTTGATTTCTAAAAATACAATTTCTGATAATTCGATAGAAAATTTAATAGAAATCGTTAGTTCTAAAAACGAGGAAGAAAATATTTCTGAAAGGATTGAATCAACGAGATCGAATAATGATGAAGAGAAAATGAATGATCAGAAATCTGATGAAAATTTCGAAAACAATGTTAAATCTGACATCTCTTTGACGACTTTTGAAGAAGTCGAACCAAAAGAGGAGTTCGATACTAAATTAATTGACGAACAAAATAATCTTAAAATAATCGAAAACCAAGAGGAAGAAGATGATGATTCTTCGAAAAGTAGTAGTACAACTTTTCATTCGGCTGTTACCAAAATTCAAGCTGGTTTTTATCTATTTTTTATTATTTTTTAAACACTTTTGCGATTGATAATTGTAATTTTATGTAGCACATTATTAGCCTAAATTACAAACACGTGGTATGTTGTTTAATTTTTGTTAAAAATTGTTATTAATGAAGGTTTAATAGAAACAATATTTCGTTACACAATGTTACTATCATTTAAATAAATAACTAAAAACCTTATTATATTTAATTGCAAACTTTTAACAATTGTTTTAGGTCAATCTCAATGTTTTTGCTTGAAAAATTATCAATCGTGATTGTGTTAATATAAAAGTCTTCATTATAATTGATATAAAACGTGATGATTATTATTATTTTATCAGGTATTCGGGGTTTCTTAACGCGTAAGAAACTTCAAGAAAATTATCCACGTGGTTCTACATTGGATAGTATTCCATCAATACAAGAAAGTGTTGCAGTAAGTGTCATATATATATATAATAT